TCTGCTTCCTTTCGATTCCAGGTCACGCTTTCTTGGTCTCTTTTTCAATAAGAGACCCAAGTAAGATCTGACGGCAAAACATTGTTAACCCCCTCCCTGTTCCTGACTTAGAATTTGCTCTCCGAATTGAAGCTCAGTCTTACCTAAGGTATACTGACACGTCAGTCATTATTTTACTGAAATTGGAAAATTACAGGCCCTACACTCCCTGGCAGGGCCGGCTAAGGGCGCCACCACCTCTAACTACCCACAGAGGACAGATTCTGGGAAAAATCGCCTTTTGTGAAATGGGGTGGAGGGGGAATAAGAAATAATAACAAATAAACACTTTGGATTTTCTATCTTCTGTTGTATCTTTTGTTCTGGCTATTTTATTGGTTATTCTAGGCTGGGTTTTTTTTTCCACTCTGTTTTCTTACTCTGTCTGTGTGTATATTCACATGGTGAAAAATGATACTATGAAAAATAGTATTAATGGTGGCTGGATACTTTCTGGACAGCCCTCGGGTGTATCTATGCATGTATGTGTGTGTATATGCATATGATATTGTATGTATCTGTGTGTGTAAAGGCTAAGCATTTGTATGTGTATGTAGATCAGGGGAGTAAGAGGTGAGCTAAGAGGGAAGGATGCTCTTTATATTTAAATATGGTAACAAGTAACATACATCCCAAGAAAGAGAATCTGTGGGAAAAAAAAAAAAAAGAAAAAATATTTAATAACATTAAACCTGGGCGGCACCTGTGGCTCAAAGGAATAGGGCGCCGGCCCTATATGCCAAGGTGGCTGGTTTAAACCCAGCCCCAGCCAAAAACTGCAAAAATAAAAATAAAAATAAATAACATACTAAACCTTTCTGTTGTATTTCAAGTGCCTTACAACTTATTAAGACACTTTAGACAATTTAAATCCTTCACACATTTAAATGTGGCTTTAATTTTAATATTTTGTCTCTTTTACAACATCAGCCAATTTAAAACTTCTTAATGAGCCTCTTAATTTACTTTTCCCCTTTTTTGGCTAGACTCTGTGCTCTGGGAATACAGGGGCTACGTGTTCCTGCCTTCCAGGCAGTTGGAGGCATGACCAAGTGCAAATCTGTGCCTAACACGTGTGAGCTTGTTCCGTGTGCCAGGGAAGGGGGCCAAATGATTTGCATGAACTATTTAATCCTTGACCACCCTGCGAGGCAGATACTACTATTATCTGCATTTTTAAGTGAGAAAATTAGCCACAGAGAAGCTTTTTTAAAAACATCCCAAGTCCTAGGCCGGGCGCGGTGGTTTACGCCTGTAATCCTAGCACTGTGAGAGGCCAAGGCAGGTGGATCGCTTGAGTTCACAAGTTCAAGACCACCCTGAGCAAGCGTGAGACCCTTGTCTCTACTAAAAATGAAAAAAACTGAGGCAAGAGGATCTCTTGAGCCAAGAGTTTGAAGTTGCTGTGACCTATGCGGCCATGGTACTCTACCAAGGGTGACAGAGTGAAACTCTTATCTCAAAAATAAATAAATAAATGAATAAATAGGGCAGCACCTGTGTCTCAAAGGAGTAGGGTGCCAGCCCCATACACCAGAGGTGGTGGGTTCAAACCCGGCCCTGGCCAAAAAGTGCAAATAAATATGCTACTTTAAAAAAAAATTAAAAACTCCTCAAACCGCCTAGCTGATAAGTCAGTAGTGGAACCCACCACCTCCTTCTCTTGGTAACACTGTGACTAGTGGCTCCCATAGGATCCCTGTGGTGACCTGATGGCCTTTTTTCTTTTGTTTTGTAAATCAGGCTATTCGTGGAGGTGGTGAATAACCTGTGTGAATGCCACCGTATTTGGTAGTCTACTGAAAAACTGATGTGAATGAGTATAGTGTGTGACAGTGACAGCTGTGTCCTGCTGAGACCAGGCAGAGAGAAGGCCCAGAGGATCCCCTGAGTTCTTTCCCTCTCTAAGGCTTTGGCATATTAAGGCCGCATAAGCAGTGTTTTGTTTTTTGTCCGGCTTTTCACTCTTTGTTGAAAATTATATTAAGCAGACGAAACAGGAATAATAGTAGGGTTTTCATTGCTGACTATTAAAATTACTGAATTTGGTAAAGTTGCTTCAAGCCCCTATTCTGCCTGTAGCAAGCATTTTACAGCTGACACCACCACAGCTGTCCTAACGTGGTCCCATCTTTGACATCCTGACAACCTCACTTTAGGAGTCTGATTACCTTCCCTCTTTCCCCCACTCTCTTTATTGTTCATGATGAAAGCAAAAACGTCAGTGGATTATAAAGACTCTGTTAGTTAAGACAGAGATTCAGGATTTTGCAGCATTCTACTGATGATACATTTTTCAGGTTTTCACTTTTGGACTTTAGTTTACTTTGCATGAAGCATTTTATGTCCCTGTGCCCAAAGTCAGTAGTGACTAGAGGAAAGCCCACCCTCCATAGGAGGAGCAATTGTGAAGGAATTTAAAGCTCTACCTGCTTGTCCTGTAATTGCCTCTCAGGAGGGGAGATCTGTGGAACCTGAAATTGGAACATTTGGAAATACCAGGGTTCTCTGCTTCCTAGTTAGAATAGCTTGTGGGTCATTCTTGTGCTAAACCAGAAGCCATAATCCACTGGCCTCCAGTCTGGGCCAGCACTCACCAGTGACAGAGTCAGGGGCAGAGCTGGAATTGCTAAATTCTGCCAGTTTGGAAGAGATAACCCTTGTCTGGGAACCACTGCATCAAAGCATGGGGGGTAGTTGTAAGAGACTTGGCTGCTTCTGGTGCGGTGTGTGACGATTCTAGGACAAAAGGGATCTTTTATCTGGGTTCTTATGAATCTTTCCCAATAACCTAGACAACAAGGGAAGCAAAGAGTAACACACGACTTTTCCTCTGACCCTTTACAAAAAGGCTGGAATTCCTCTGTGCCTGTGGCTTTAAAATCCCTACATCTTCTAGAACCAGGGTGACCCTTTTCCACTTGCGGATTCTTCAGATCTCATCTCTTTCTGTAAGACACCAGCATGTCTCACCCTTCATTCTGTTCACTTCTCCTCTTTACCTTTGTAAGGGAACTTTAAAGCAACTATCATCCTTATTCAAAATCCTCTATCCATAACCTTTTCCCTCAAATAACCCGAGTATCTCCTCAAAATCAGAATGACTCTTAGAGGGCCACAGAAACATACTATCATAGGAATTTTTATCACTCCATTCTTTGTACCTTAACTAATTTTTATTAAACTCTGAATCTGTCAGGTGAGTCGTGTAACTCTGTTTGGTCATGGATAACTATTTTTTGATACTGTATTTATTTTGAATCCTGTTAATTTCGTGAACCCAGTGGTAATAACCATCCACTTCCTTTGTGCAGTCATCTCTCAGTGTCTCTGCAGGATTGTTTTTAGGATCCCCTTGGATATCAAAATCCACGGAAACTCATGTGTACATATATGTATAAAAAATGGCCTCACATTTCCATATAACCTATGCACCTCATCCCGTATACTTATGAAAAATCTATAGGTTACTTATGATATCAAATACAATATAGATGCGATACAAATAGTTATACTATATTTAGGGTATAATGGCAAAAACAAAAAATGTATACATGTTCAGTAGAGATGCAGTGTTTTCTTGACTATTTCAATCCATGATTGAATCTATGGATCTTGAACTCATGGATTCCGAAGCTGACTGTATTTCCTAAAATCCACATAGATGAGTTATTACCTATTTTGTTCAAAACCCCCCAATTTTTGAAAAAGTTCTCTACTTATCTAATTTGATCAAGAATTTATTTTTTACCTTTAAAAAGGTCCATGCATTCTATTTTGCACTATGAAGTTGATACAGCATATGGGTGATGTTTTATTAAGCAAACTATTTTTTTTTCCTCTGACCATCTGAATTTTTTAGGGCATGCAGAGGTTGGCTAAGTAGAGAACTGAGTGCATAGCTTACTAAATTCTTGAATGATGTGTCTAGTTACCATCCCTCTTCTAGAAACGAAATGAAACGTGAGTTGATGAAGAGAAGGAACTTTAGCCTACCAGGCTTCTTAAGGGCACACAGTAAATGATACCGGGGAGCTGGCAAGGGCTTTTTAAGCAGACGTGAAATCTATATTTAAGTATTTAACAATGATTTTAGTAAAACTAAATTTTGATAAGAGTACATAATTGAGACTAAAACTTATTTCTTCATTTCATATGTTTCAAATTATGAGTGTAGCATTTCCATCTGAGAAAAAGAACCCAGGGCTCAGTCATTTTCTCTGTCCTCTGGAGTCCAGTTAAAGTTAAATGACTTGCCTGGGACTTACCAATTATTGACTGAGCCTGATTCATGCATCCGGCATATTTAATATTATAGTCTTCCTAATTTAGTTTTCTACTTATTTAACAATCGATGCTATCTGGGCCTCAGGTATGTGGTTAGGTTTTGCTTAGAATATAATATAAGTTTTGTTAGTCTTTAGGAATGAAACTGTCATTTATCTTTAAAATGCTTTTGCAGTTCTTTGAAAAATTTTTTCATATCAATTATGTTCCCTAGTTCATGGTCAATTATGTTTTCTGACTCGTTTTGCTTTATTACACAGTTATTTTACTCAGTGGTTTCTGAAAAGCACGCTTTAAGATTTAGAGCCAAACACATTTTTGTTTATTTATTTATTTTTTGCAAGCTTTTGGCCGGGGCTGGGTTTGAACCCACCACCTCCGGCATATGGGGCCGGCGCCCTACTCCTTTGAGCCACAGGCACCACCCTACAGCCAAATACATTTATGGGATTATAACTACATTAACAAATGCTAAATAATTCTCCTAAATAAATTGCTTATTATTTAGTTTTTTTCTCTTTACTAATTATTTAGTGTTTAATTTTTTTTTCTCTTACTAAGTGCACTTGTGAATAAAATCCAACCCAACAGTGAGGGTTTCTTATTTTTGTCTTTCGGGGTTTTCTTTTTTTGGTTCCCATTGCTAAAGATATGTCTATTTTGAATCTTGGCAGCTGGTTTTAGGAGAAGTTTTCGTCTCAGTAGAAAAGATAAGAAAACAAACAAATCCATGTATGAATGCAAGAGGAGTGATCAGTATGACACAGCAGATGTCCCCACCTACGAAGAGGTGACCCCGTATCGGCGGCAGAGTAATGAGAAGTACAGACTTGTCGTCTTGGTTGGTAAGTGTGTGTTTTTGTGTGTGATTCTGAGGAAACAGGTGAAGTTGGAAGAATTTAACGTCAAACCACGTCCTCCTTGAAGTTTGCAGGCTACAGATCCCCTCCTCTTGAACACTTTTTGTCTGGTCGCTACCTTGAAATATTTTGTGTTTTGTATTTAGATGAGATTCAGAGACTTTTGAGATTGTCTGTGAATGATGGTGCTATCATCATAGTGGCATCTCTGTGGGAAAGCAGATAGCAAATACCACCGCAATATATAACATTGCACATACTGGGGCAATTAAATCATAGGAATGAGTTTTTTTTGTTTTTTTTTTTAACACAATGCAAGTTTGTTTAGAATCATTTCGAGGCAACATTGTGGTATAAGCTTCCTATGGTATTTTGACATTCAGAGAAATGAACTATCACAGCAGAGTTCGTTCCAGGATATTGCAAGCTGCAAAGTCAGTTAATGAAACTCCTTTAAAGTAGCTGATAAGGCTGGGTGTGATGGCTCACACCTATAATCCTAGCACTCTGGAGGCTGAGGTGGGTAGCTTGCCTGAGCTCATGAGTTCGAGATCAGCCTGAGCTGGAGGGAGACCCCCATCTCTGAAAATAGCCGGGTGTTGTGGCAGATGCCTGTAGTCTCAGCTACTTGGGAGGCTGAAGCAAGAGGATTGCTTAAGCCCAAGAGTTTGAGGTGCTGTGAGCTCTGAAGCCACAGCATTCTACTGAGGGCCACAAAGTAAGACTGTCTCAAAAAATAAATAAATAAAATAGCTAATAAACGTATGTTGGTATTTCCACAAACATTGTTTGGTTTGACTCAGATCCACAGTCCAGCATCTGTCTCACGCAGCCTTCACGGCCGTGAGCAAGTCACAAGCTCTGTGTTACTCCTCCCTGTTTTGTGGTTTCTTTAACAATGTAGTGAGAGGTATCTAAGTTCCAGGACCAAAGCCGAGGATGCTGGACAAGTTTTGGAGGAAAGGAGCATGGTTTCTCTTGTTTGTTGACCCCTTACAAATCCTCAGGGATGAGGATTACTGGGAAAGCTAAGAGCTGCCCTGACTTAGTAAGAGGGAGTACTCTGAAGTCACTTGCTGCTATTTCAGACAGATGGGGTGACTGGTGGGAAATGGTTCGGGGCTTCTCACATCTGATGGCACAGGAAGTGATTATTAGTATCATCACCTACTAACACTGTGTTATTTACAAACACGTACAGGCACTCCCAGAGTTACAGATATCCACCTTACATGTACAACTTATAAGTATGAATGGGGGTTATTGTTATTACAACAAGTCCCCGAGTTACAAACATCCAACTTACATATGACTTGCACTTATAAATGGGGACTATTAACAGGTAATAGGTAATGTATCTGTTCAGAATTACATACAAATTCAATTAGAGAAGAAACCTACAGAACCTATCTTGTTCATAACCCGCGACTGCTTGTATTCACATATTTCAAAGGAAACTCAAGATTTCCTTTATTAACAATGTCCACATGTCCTTATCTGTGTATACAGAACAGTGGTTCTCAACCTTCCTCATTGCTGCGTTGTTACAAATGGAAAAAAGGGGTCGTGACCCACAGGTTGAGAACCACTGATATAGAACCTTCCCAAACCTGGAAGAGGATTTCCATAGGTTTCTATGTCTCTTACAGAGTTTACAGTGCCCTGCTTCTATTCCTTATGGAATCACACTAAAGAGAATAAACACGTTTCCCAGCCCACACAGAGCCAGGTGGTCATAGAGGAATTTGGGGGTGCTACTTGAGATATCCTGTCCCTCTCCCATCCCACTGCCTCTCAGTGCCTCTTCTCCAAAGCTGAGGAAAGAGATACATTGTAATAAAAGGGCAAAGACGGCATGATTTTCTTTTCTTTGTTTCTTTTTTTTCCTCAGTGGGGTCTTGCTCTGTTGTCCAGTTTGGTCTCAAACTTCCAGGCTCAAGCAATCTTCTCACCTCAGTTTCTTGAGTAGCTGGGACTATAGGTGCCTGCCACTATGCCCAGCTGTGTATGATTATTTTTATTTCTCCTTCCATCTATGTGACTCTCTGTAGCCAAGGAGTTATTATTCACTCTGTAACTTTGAGCTTCTCCTAGGACAGTAGTCTCCAACCTCTTTGGCACCAGAGGCCAGGTTCATAAAAGACAATTTTTCCAGGGACAGTGGTGGTGGGACAGGAGGTGGAGCTCAGGAAGTGATGCCAGTGATGGGAATGACTGTAAATAGAGGTGAAAGTCTGCTCCCTCACCCACTACTCACCACCTGTTGTTTAGCCCAGTTCCTAACGGGCCACACACTGGAACCTTTTTGGTACCAGGGACTGGTACCAGGACAACTGGTTTCATGGAGGAGGACAACTTTTCCATGGACTTGCACAGGAGGAACGGGGAGTGGGAGGGAGGGGACGGAAGTCAGAGCTCAGGTGGGTGATGGCTATGTAACCCAGTTCCTAACAGGCCAGGGACTGGTACTGGCTTGTAGCCTAGGGACCATAGTCTTAGGTGATCTAATTGAAACAGGAACATAGAATAAACGTTTTTTTCCCTTTCCTATAGGTTCTAACTATAAAAACTCTTTTGTTGGAGGTGAGAAAGGGGAAACAGATGAGAATAAACTGTGAGTCCAAGTAGTAACCCAGGGAGGAATAGAACTAAATCACAGTCAGAAGCAGCTAAAGATGGTTGGTTGTTATGGAAAAGAAATACCCAAAGGGAAGAAGGTGGGCTAGGGGGCACTGTCTTCAGGCAGGTTCGGAAGGGATCGTGGAGTCCTGTTGCGTGGTGCTGTGTGTAGGTGTCCATAGCTGGTCACTACAGCTCTCTTTAGGAAGGTATAGACAAGAAGACAGATGCTGAAGTAAGATAAAGTGGTTATTGTCTGTTCTGGGTACAGGATTCCTGAGCAGGTCTGTGCTAATTTGGAATGGAGCATCAGGAAATCTCCTTTTCATAGCCTCTGTTTATCTGCTAAGGACTTATTTTCCCATCAATTCCAGGCATGTCTGCCTTTACCTGATGAAGCTTAGTTAAGACAGATGCTTTGATGTTTGGATAATTGTAACATTGGAGTCACTTTGGTGTTTTCAGTCTCTGCTGTGTTGGGTGATTCCATGAGGGTGACACTTGGGTCAGGCAGAGACTGATGTGGTGGTTTAAATCATTTCTCAAAGCCTTTGTGGGGCAGCTCTCACTCATCCCCCACTTAGAAGTGAGCCCAAAACTTTTGCAGAGTCTTCTCCACTCTGGCCACTGCCCCACTGTGCAGCTGGGAGATGATGACCCATCCTCTCTGGGCAGAGCCCAAGATGAAAGTTGCCTTAGTCTGTTGTGTGTTGCTATAAAGTAATACCTAAGATTGGGTAATTTAGAAAGAAAAAGGGTTGATTTGGCTCACAGTTCTGCTGGCTGGAGGCGTCTGGTGAGGGCTTCAGGCTGCTTCCACTTGTGGTAGAGTTGACGGGGAGCTGGGGTGCGCAGAGGTCACACAGCGGCAGAAGGAGGCTCAGGTGTCAGGCTTTTTAACAAGCAGCTCTCCGGGAAATGAATAGAACTGAGAATTTGCTCACCCCAGCCCAGGGAGGGCATTGATCTATTCATGAGTGATCTACCCCCGCGACCCAGATACCTTGCCCCCCAGCCCAGACCTCCAACATTGAGATCAAATTTCAACATGAGGTTTGAAGAGACAAACATCTGACAGACAGCAAGAGGAAAACATAAAACGGGAGACTCATCATCTCAGGAGTCACTCTGATTGGATGCCCTTCCACACTCTGCCTGCTTCTGTTTGCTTTCCAGCATCGTGAGGTCATGGGTTTTGTACACTGTCCAGAGGTTTTGGCTGCACCCAGTGGGGAGATGGGCTGTAGTGGGTTTCCCCACTGGAGTGGGGCTGGGCTCCCAGAAACTTTAAGCTCCTCTCCCAGACACAGCGTGGCCTGTCTTCATCCCTGTACTTTAATTGGCATCCTCAGAACTGGGTGACCTCAGCCCAGCTCTCATGTGTCCTGCTTAGCACTTCAAAGTGTCATCAGGACAGAGCAGTATCCCAGCATCAGCCCAGGACTTTTTAAGATTAGAACAGTGTTCCCAGAAATGTATTTCACAATAGTCCATTGGCAGCCCCAAGCCTGAGGAGGTATTTTGGCTTCTGGAACATGCATGCTGGTTGTCCAGATCCACAATCATTGAACTACAACTCCCCTGGCCAGAATTGTGGGTTAATTGTATACATGTCCACTGCCCCATGTCCCCTCTACCATTTGATCTTTGGATTGTATACATGTCCACTGCCCCACGTCCCCTCTACCATTCGATCTTTGGGTTGTATACATGTCCACTGCCCCACGTCCCCTCTACCATTCGATCTTTGGGTTGTATACATGTCCACTGCCCCACGTCCCCTCTACCATTTGATCTTTGGGTTGTATACATGTCCACTGCCCCACGTCCCCTCTACCATTCGATCTTTGGGTTGCTGGCACTGAATTCTTAACTGAATGTGGACTCTGCATGGGGGCCAGACAGATTCCCCCCCCCAACCCCTTCTCCCTGTACTTTTTACATTCCTAAACCTTTTTTTTTAATTTTTGGTTAAGCCACGTAATGTCAGGCTTACTGCAGTGCCTGCTCCCTCTGTCTCCTACTTGGAATCCCTTAAGTTCCAGTCCTATTCCCAGAGGAGATTTCCCTTGTATGTCAGCAGAAGTGTTACCCTCAAAATATTCCTGAACCAGAGATGCTGAAGGGTGATGCTCCCAAGTGGCGCAGTTGGGACACTGAAATTTCCTTCACCATCTCAGCCCGCTGGTGTCCAGGCTTCCAGCCCTGGAGTACATAATTAATTAGGTTACCTCAGTGACAACTGTGTATCTCTTTTCACTGCTCGCCTTCCTCTGCTTTGCTCTAGCTATCACGTTTCATTATTTTCTGCTCTTCCCAGCTCCTGTTCAGCCTCTCCAACTGAGTTTTTAAATTTTAACTAGTTT